TAAAATTTATAATCTAAAATAAATTTTAGATATTCAAAATTTGTTTCGATTGAATTGTCTAGAATTTCTGCAAGGAGCTCTATTCGAGAAGAAGCACTGGCTCTTATTGAAATTTACCTTTCGGCCATTACAACATTACAATCAGCTTCTTATTGACTTATTTAAGTGATTAAAGGCTAAAATAACTTTTAAACATATTTGTAATAATTGGATTAAATAAAAAAAGTGTTTTTAAGCACTTGTTTTTAAGTCATAAGCCCATCCAAATAGGCTCATATTCCCTTTGTTTCAATATAAGTGTCGTTTTAGGCAAAATTAGGTTTAGTAAGAAATCAATAACTACAATGTGTAGTTTACTAAATTACTCATATTTAATAAATGTCTCTTGAAAACTGAATACTATTGAAAAGAAGGAGTATAAGGATATAACTGAAAAAGGCATATGTCTCTATCCAACAATATTTGTCCACTATTGATTTTGCACACTTCTTAAGAAACTATAAATTAAATATAAGTGTAATTTTACTATATCACTCTTTGAATATAATAAATACAATGTCCTGATAAATGTAAAGAGAAATGACTATAATTGATAAGACTAAATTAGGAACTAAGTATAAAACTATCCATTGATTTCATAAAGTGGACAAGTATTGTTTGACATCCCAAAATAGTTTAGTAGACAACTATTATTGGACGAAGGGAGTACAATTTTTTAATTTGAATTTCTAAAATGGTAGGAGTACTTAAGTGGGAAACAGAGGAAGCAATTGTGTGGCTATAAACTATCTCTATAAAATTAAATTACTTTTAAAAATAAAAACATGATATTCTTTTCGAACCGACATAAAAAAAATAATGCCCTCATATATTAGAACATAGAGATTAATTAGTTAGAGTAATTAGCTTCTAAACACTTGTGATCTAATATATAGTCATCTAAAAAAAAACTACAACATGATAAAATTTATATTACAACCGTGTTAAATTAACATAATAAAAATATAATAATTGTTTTGTTAGGTTTTATGTCTTATGGCTTGTTGGGTGGAAGATCCAAATTCAGAAGCATATAAACGTCACCTTGCTCGATTACCAGATTATTATTGGATATCTGAAGATGGTTTAAAATTTCAGGTTATTTTTCCATATATAGCCTTTCAATTTTTTATGGCTCTAATACAAATATTGAACCCCGAATGACAAAATTAAATAATTAGCTAATTAAAATTAGTACAATATGGTTTGCATGCAGTCCTTTGGTTGTCAAACTTGGGATGCAGTATTTTCAATCCAAGCAATCTTATCAAGTGATGTGGCTGAAGAATTTGGGCCAACACTCAAGAAAGCAAATAATTTTCTAAAAGCATCACAGGTTATATAATTAATTATTAATTCTTTCTTCATAGTAATAAATAAATTAGGATAAAATGTTACATCATAATTATCTGAAAAAAATAATTTTGAATTATTATTATTTAATTTTTAGGTGAGGGAGAATCCTAGTGGGGACTTTAAAAAAATGTATAGGCACATATCTAAAGGTGGTTGGCCATTTTCCATGCAAGATCATGGTTGGCAAGTCTCTGATTGCACTTCTGAAGGATTAAAGGTAATTCTTAATTTTCAACTATTTAAAGTGTGGTTCATCTCGCATTACAATAAAAGAGATATTTAGTGATAATAAAAAATTTTATTGTCGCGATAGTTAAGTCAATGTTATTATATTCAGAATCGCTAAGTCATTTAGCGACATTTATATAAAATATTGATTATAAATATCTGACAATAATATTATTGCATCTAACTTTAATATAGTGGCGATTATGTTATTATCGATACATTCTTTATTTGTTATAATATGGTGTGGCCTAATAAAGTGAAATAAAAATTATGGAATATTAAGGTTCAAGTCTTAGCAAATGGCAAAATTGTTAGTATTCCTTCCATTTTTTCAACTCATGTAATACAATTTTTTTTTAATCGGTACTTAAAAAGAATGACATATTTATATATTCAAAAATAATTTATTAACTTTCTGCTTCTTATTTTATTCTTTGTGCAAGTTTGTTTTATAGCTACACAAATATTATAACACGTTGTGTGCAATTATTTTGCAGTGTGCACTTTTATTTTCACAAATGCCTACACAACTTGTTGGGGAAAAATTCGATGCTGAGCGCTTATATGATGCAGTAAATGTTATTTTGTCTCTCCAGGTAAAAACAAATCCTGATTTAGTCATATTTTATTATCGATGATTAAATTGTTTGAACATATATAGTTTAATTTGTAAGCAAGAAACTATAATTTAAATGTTTTCTTGGTAATATATTTAGTTCATGATCAAATGATTTAATGTGCTACTTTAACCAACCTTTCTTGCTATTATTAATTGTAAATATTAATAATGTAGAGCGAAAATGGGGGTTTTCCAGCTTGGGAGCCTCAACGTGCCTATCGCTGGTTGGAGGTAACATACTCAAAATCCTTTTCTTAACTATTATCGCGTGTTAAATGGTACAAATATCTCTGTGTATAACTTAAATTCTATTTGAATTCCCAAGCTCATATATACTTTTGCTAAAGGTGTTAATTGTTTAGTTTTGTATACTTATAGGTTAATTTACTTGATTAACTATTTAACCTTTTTTTTTCTTGTCAGAAATTTAATCCTACAGAATTTTTTGAGGATACCATAATTGAAAGAGAGTAAGTACTCTATGCTACTCTTTTTCTAAAATTCTACATTTATTAGAAAATATTAAATATATCTTCAACAATATTTTAATTATAAGATTAATATATGTTAATTAATGAATATATGAAGGTATGTGGAATGCACTTCATCATCAATCCAAGCTTTATCATTATTTAAAAAGTTGCACCCTGGACATCGAAGGAAGGAAATTGATGTTGCAATTACAAAAGGCTTACAATACATTGAAAATACACAAAATCCTGATGGCTCTTGGTAAATATATATCCTTCGTCTAAAAAATTATACTACAGATTAACTTTTAGATATATTAATTTATCAAAATTTCTGATTTTGCTGCTGGTTATATAGGACGGGTTGTTGGGGAATTTGTTATACATATGGAATATGGTTTGCAGTGGATGGATTAATAGCTTGTGGAAGAACCTATTCTACTAGTCATGCCCTTCAAAAAGCTTGTCAATTTTTGTTGTCAAAACAATTGTTAGATGGTGGATGGGGTGAGAGTTACCTTTCAAATTCAAACAAGGTAACAAATATAATTTATTATATTTACTTCTATTTTTTAAATATAAGGTACAAACACTAAAAAAAATTGTATGTGATCATTTGTTTCTTTGAATTAAGAGTTGTTAATTAATTTGTTTGATTAAAAGGTTTATACAAACATTGAAGGGGATAAGTCAAATTTGGTGCAAACTTCATGGGCATTGTTAGCTCTCATTAACGCTGGACAGGTTTGTTGTTAAAAATTATTGTATGTCTTATTTTTCACTCACAATTCAACAAATTCATAATGGGATAATTATGGATCTGAACCATTCAACATATAATATATAAAACACATTGATAGTGTATATGTGTTGTATATACTGAGGCCTTAGCTTATTGATAAGCTAGTTGACCAAAAACCAACAAGAATTGTGGTGGAGTGATAAGTATTCATTCATCCTTAACTAGAGATCTCGGATCCAAATCCCCCTAGGTACAGAATTGCCTTTGATAGGAAGTGTTTTACCCCTCAATATGGGACTTTCTGGCACGAATCCGAATTTAGTGGGGCTCTAATGTAGACACCGGACACTGGATGGGAAACAAAAAAAAAAACTAGTTGACTGAAGAATATATATATCGTTTTAACGATCCCTAACACTCTCTTTGGTTTTTTGTTGTTCATTAGGGGGGAATTGATCCATCACCAATACATTGTGGAATAAGATTGTTAATAAATTCACAAATGGAAGATGGTGACTATCCACAACAGGTAACAATTAGTTGCCTTATAAAATGATAATTTTAACATTTGCATGTGTATAGACTATAGAGACTAATGATATTTATTTTGTTACAATTGTTTTGCAGGGAGTAACAGGGGCATTCATGAAGAATTGCACCTTAAACTATGCATCATACAGAAATATATTCCCAATATGGGCTCTTGCACAATATCACAAACGTCTTCTCATCAAACTCAACTAGAAAATTTTTATTTTACTAATTCAATATGTATACTAAATAAATGTACTTCTATTTTATTTTTTCCTGTATTTTCATTTTTGCTAAAAAGAGGTGGATCACAATATATACATGCTCTGCTCCTCTTTCTCTTTTTTTTTTAAACTTGCCTCCTTTTGGCAATTGGTATTTAGTTTGACCTCGTGGATGCTATATGAAGTATTACATTTTTTATGCTTAAAAGTTAAAATATCAATTTAATGTTGATAAACCAGTAACATTGCATGTGTCAATGAACTTAGTACACATTTAAATAATCATAAAGTTGAATAATACCAACATTATTTGGCCATGAAAATTTCACTTTTTTCCACTGAAAAGAAAAAACATGAGTAATTCTCCAATTTTGAAGACATTATATCTCAATCAAAATCAAAAACCTTATTTGGGGAATCATTTGCAGAACTCGCCATTTTTCAAATTTTGCTCCTCGTTAGTCCGACAGGCTAAATTTGTCTGCAAACAAAAAGATGCATCCAACCACTTGTTTCCTTAATTATTTGGAAATTCAAGCCCACAAAATTGTTAAGGTAGCTAATACACAACATTTCTAATGAATTACAACTTGACTCGCAGCAGTCTCTAGACCAACTCCAGGTCCAATAGAAGCAAGCATTACGATTGACGACCAACACAGCAGCAATAGTTGAAGTGCCAGAAATCAGGTGGATAAGTTCCTCATACAGCCAGTACACAATGTAGTCTTTACCTAGAATTTGAAGTTCCAGAAAATCTTTGAGAAGCTATCTTTTTTTTTCTTCCAAGGAAAGAGTTGACAAAACGAACTTCAGAAGCAGAAAATCTATGCTACAGACATAGTCATTATCTGACGAGCGAGACCAGGATCTTGTTGCAAGAGCTCCCTAAGGTTATTCTCCACCTCCGCCATGTGCTTTTCCAAATACTCTTTAGAAGTCTGTCCAACAAGTAATTTCTATTAACATCCCTTGACTGGTGTATCCGGTTTATGTTCCCAGACAATCAAGCAAATGGAAAACTATAATAAATAGCAGTATTTACTAGAAACAAAAATGGATAAACGTCAGAAAATAAAGAGCTATGTACCCTATAAGTTAAAAGAACAGAAATATGGAAACCAACATTGAAAATAACCGATAGATGCTATAGGTTCCTTATAAGACTAACATGGACTTACTTTTTGTTGTTTTTGAACTGTAAATTATGCAGTTCTATAATACTTATTTCGATAAAAGATGCAAGAATATTGTTTTAATGATTTTTCAGAAGTTAAGATTGACAACAGTCAATGCTGAATTGAAAAAGGAATTTGAGAACACCTGCAAAGAGGCAATTGCAGTTTCACCATCCTTGAGTTTTTGCTCTTGCTCATTCATTAACACAGCCTTTGGCTCTAAGACAAACCTGAACATAAAAGATTGTTCAGAGTGAGATAAGTACAAAAGCAGAGAAATTTGAGAATTCCAGGACAATAATGTATATGATCTACATATCCTTTTCCTTTTTTCAGATAACAGCAACACGATAGACTTCGGTTCAAAACTTACGTTCTTCCTGCAACAAAAGATAGAAAACAATGAAACACAACATTATAAGAATTCTGTTCAAATTTAATTTCAGAAGTGATATTTCAAGATTAACAAATCACTCAATTAAGTGATTAACTAAATCTCACTCCCAAACTGGTTGGTATCGACTATAAGAGATCTTCTATAATTACTCCACTGTCTTTGAGGCTAAATGAGTCCAACATCAAATAATTTTCTTTCGGGCAACTTGAATTCTTTAAAATTAGAGGTTTTCTTCTTTATCCTTTTAACCAGAGGTTTTCTTTTTGAGAATTGATAACATTGTATTCTTCAGCATTAAGGATATGCTGGGGACCTTTAGAAAATCAGAAAAGAACAAAAAGCATAATACTTACAAGGATCCTAAGAATTCTAAAAGTTGATCTGGATCCTCTAATCCTATCTCTTTACACCAAAAATATAGAAATACAATACAATGCAATTCCATTTAACCTTGTGAATCGAATTGGATATATCTTCAAAATTCCTACTATTCCTCTCCTTCCACACCGTCCACCATGCAATGTGGAATCAAATTCCACCAGGTCTTCTGTCTCTTGCTACCTCCTCTCCTAATCCAACAACTAAGTAAATCAGTTGTATGTTCTGGCATAGTCCATTTCACTTTTGAAAAGTTGAGAAACATGGACCATATTTGTGTTGTGAAAGTACAATGTAAGAATAGGTGACTGTTAGTTTCCCCATTCCCCCGTCTTCCCACATAAAGAGCACCAAGGAAGTATGATCTTTCTTTTCTTCCTCAAGACTTCATGTGTCAAGCATGCCTTTCTAATGACCAACCAAGTAAAGCACTTAACTTTTGTTGGTGCTACAATCCTCCAGATATTTTTCCATGAACTCTAGTATTTGCGACTTTGCGAGTTGCACTCCTTTTTATATGCCCTGCCAACTGTGAAGATACCATCCTTACTGTGAGACCATCTAACAACATCATTGGCAGTATTGGTGCCTGCAAAATCCCCCACTTCCTCCAACAATTTGGCTACTATCTCTATCTCCCAATCATTTAGTAGTTAGAGATTCCAACTTTGTTCTGTCCAGCAATCACTAATCATTGCCTCAGAATTGGTGCACAAAATAAATAGATGAGGAAATGTTTCCTTTTAGGGGGTTTGTTTGATCCATACATCCCACCAGAATCTAGTTCTCCTTCCATCCCCCACCTTAATATGTAAATTTGCTTCTAACTTGGGTCATAAGTTTCTATTAGCTCTCCAAACCCCTGCTCCATAGGCATTTATGCTTACGTTACTACACCAAAATCCATCCTCCCCATATTTACATTTAATCAAATCTTTCCACAAAGCTTGCCTCTCCTCAGTATCTCCACAACCATTTCATCAAAAGACTGTTGTTATGCTTCCTCAAATAACTGATGCCCAAGCCACCTTTATCTTTTCTATGCAAAATTGTCACCCACTTGACCAAATTGTACCCTTTGTTCTCTTTGCAGCCATGCCAAAGGAAATCTCTCCTAAGTTAGTCCAATTTCTTAGCCACTTTTGTCGGTATAGTGAAAAGAGACATACATATGTTGGGAGAGAATCTAGAACAGAGTTGATAAGGATGTGTCTACCACCAAAAGAAATGTATTGAGCCTTCCATCTGGCTAGTCTTTTTTCAGTCTTCTCGACTATGCTGTCCCATATCTCCAAATCTGTGTTTATTACCTAAAGGCATACCCAAATAGGTTGTGGGCAATTTCTCCACTCTGCAAACCAGAGGTTTTCTGAATGTCACACTTTTCCTTCACTGATAAAAGATATCTAACCCGACCAAAAAGTCTCATGCTGAATACTGAACCTAACATAATTTATTAACAAAATAAATCTTAATCCCTGCTAAATGGTAGCATATTTATGGATCTTTTACTTCCATTACGTTTAGTTCTTAACTAAATCCTCATTGATTTCATGAAATCGTATGTATTTTGGAACACCTTCACTCCATTTGATTTGTATGTCACGTTCCTTTTAAGAACCCTCAATCATCATAGTGTCACATCTATGGACCAATGCATTTGGAGGTCTATATAAGACATTGGCCAAACCAACCTCTCATCTTATCCACGCTACGTGCTTGGATGTGATAATTTTCTAAGCTTGTTCAATATTGTATGACAATAGATGCATCTTCATAGAAGAATTTCTACCACACTCGTCATGCAGATATATTGGTTTTTGAAGGACCCATATCCACTTTAATGTAACATTGTTGGTTTCAAAACTGTTCTTAGAACTTCCTTTCCAATTTGTTAGGTATTTATCATATCGCCATTCACGACATTTGGGTTCTTTCATAGTCATTTGAGTATAACTTTCCAATATATCAACACCATACTCGTCGTGCAAATATATTGAGTTTTGAGGACCCATATTCACTTTAATGTAAAGTTGTTGATCTAACGATTGTTATTTATAACTTCCTTTCCAATTTGTAGATACTTTTTAGAAAGTTAACATTTTATAAACAACAATACACCAATGGTGTATTTCAGTAGTAATTACATCAGGAGTATACAATAAGCAAAACCAAAAGATCTATCATTTATACCCCTCCTAAACTATCTAAAAAGTGAGTAATAGCCTCCACCTCTTTGGGGAGGACATGATTACACCAAAAATAATGTGGGTTGGACAACACTCTCTGAAACAGTTGCATCCTGAGATTTATAATATGAACCAACAGAAGGAAGCAACAGTAGCAGAAGTCAAAGACAACCAAGGATGGAACCTATCTTTTAGGAGAAGGTTGAATGCCTGGGAAATAGACAAATTAGCAGATTTCTACAAGTCTTTGGAGCAGGCGAATAACCTTGACACGAAGGAGGATAGTTTACAATGGTTGAGGGCCAATAATGGGAAGTTCACAATAAAATCAGCTTATAGACATCTTGACAGGCTAGCTGAAATGTTGTTACCATGGCCTTGGAAGATGATATGGAAAATTAATGTACCTCACAAGGTGGCTTGTTTCACCTGGTTGGTAGCTAGGGAAGCAGTACTAACTCAGGACAGACAATCTAATGAAAAGGGGAAGACAGTTATGCTCCAGGTGTTTTTTTTGTGAAATAGAAACAGAGACAACAAACCATCTCTTCATCCATTGCAAAGTGATAGAGAAATTGTGGCAGATTTTCTAGCATGCTGGAATAGAGAAGGGAATACATCAGGTCACGGGGAGAGATGGAAAGATGGAAGATTGTCTCTGCTGGCATCTAGTGGACAATCTGGAAGGAAAGGAACCAGAGATGCTTCAAAAACAAGAGCATCCCTTTCCAGAGTTTGAAGTTGAACTGTCTTATAATTTGTAGGTATTTTATCAAATCTCCATTAACCAAATTTGGGCTCTTTCGTAGTCATTTGAGTATAACTTTGATCACTTTGTGCTTATTATTGTGCTTTTGGTGTAGGATGAAAATGAAGAATGTTGGAGCTAAAACAAGTGATTTGGAGCTTTGAAGTCCGAGTAAAATCCCAAAGAAATGATTCCGGAGCAAGTCCAAGTTTCGAGGATGGAATGCACGCGGAAAAATGGAAGAAAAACGACATCGACACATTTTGTCCGTGTGCAACGCGCCTATTGTCGCTTGCCGAGCAGTCAAGTCCCTGAAACAAAGGCCCTGCACAATGCACCAAGGTGGTTTGCAGCTGAGTTCTATAATTCATCTGTCTTAAGGGTATTTTCTCTAGGGCTCTAATAGATACTCTATATAAGCGTCTTAAACATGATTTTGAGGGGAATTAACATTGTTATGCAGATCAAGGGCTAAGAGTATTATTTGTAGGTCTTATCTTTCTTCGCCTTATTTTTTCATCATCGCCACATGTTATTCATCAATTCTTGTCATTGTATTGGAATCATAGTCCTAGGGTTTTGGCATTGATATGAAAGCTAACGTTTGAAGATCATTCATAATTATTGGTTTTTCCATTATTGAATTATTTATTTATTCTTGCTCTTACTTATTTGATTGCCTGGCCATTATCGAATACTATTTGTGACTCGCTAATTGAACTCGAGAGAGGGGATGGAAAGCGTAATAAGAATAAATAGAGCATGTTCGTGAACCTATAGACAGAGGATTGTTTCGCTAGAGTGGATAGAGATATACCCTTTGGCCTTTAGCCTCACTTAGTTGAATACAGAGATTTAAATGCATTCGGCTATTGCCTGACGACCATAGAGATATAGGCAACCATAGAGATATAGGCGTTGGAGTAGCTTGAATAGGCATGTGAGCAATTCGAGAGATACTCATAAAGATAATATTAACGTGCAATTAGTAACTCATTAAATCAATAGGTGTGACAATCGAAAGACTTCACTAGATTGTTAGATTTCATAGCCTTAGACCTCTCTCTCATCTGATAAAACCAAATTGTCCTAGCATTGCATCTATTTTACTGTTTTCTCTTAGTTAAATAATTAGTATAATGAACTCCAAAACTGTTGATTTCTCTAATAGTTGAAATAGGAATTCAAATTAGACCATCAATCCTAGAAGTCTCTGGGAGAAAACGATATCTGGACTCAAATTCTATATTTACTTGTACAACTGTGTATACTTGTGTGTGAGTTGGCCACAACAATATACAATGTGATATCTAAGAGAAGTAGTTCTCCTAAGCCCTAGTTTACCGTCGATTCTTTTATTAAAATAGAAACCAATAGTTTGCTACTGTATCCATTAATGTGTTTGACCTGCCAAGCAGTGAGAAGCTACTATAGAAAAAGAATACACAGTCATTGGGAACCGCTCCAGTTATTTGCTTGAGCTATCGATGAGGTCATTAAAACTAGCTTATCACTAAAGCACCAATTTAAACCAACTTTTACTTCTTTTTTTGTAGCTTACCTATGGCTTTGTATGTATTGGTATCATCAGACAGCTGTTTCAGTTCCTCCAATGTCAAATAAGCACGCTTCTTCTCGGTTTCTTTGTTTCGAATCTGGGTTTGAACCTACAAGCCAAAACAACTCTTTACCTTAGATCAACATTACATTAATATCTCAATCAGGCAATTCAATTATGCCCAATTTTAGTTCCTTTCAGATTTCATTCAACTCTTAAGCATATCTTTTCCCATTTCATTTTCCTCAGGATACAAATCCGAAGAAGCAAACAATCAGTAAATTAATCCATTTCTCGCTTAAGAGCAACGTTTTTTTTTTCAAATTTCTAATCGATCTCACAGACAAAAGTTGATATTTTTCACAATTCTACGAACATGAAACTGAGTAAAAGACACATGTAAATGCAAATAAGAACTAACCTGCTTCAATTTCCCGGAAGTCTCTATCATTCGACCCTGAATTTCAATAAAAGCCTGTTGAAGAAAAAAAAAAAAAAATCAGAAGTAAAATTAGAGGAAAAAAAAAACAGAAATTGTGAAATGAAAAAGGATATTTACAGTTCTATTTGCTTCGTCCGCCATTTTTCAACTGCAATTCCAAGTGCAGATACAAAAACTGAAGCCCTAGAATATATATGAAAACAGCCGAGTGAGATTGATAGAGCAAGAGACGAACAGTAAAAGGTATGTCGCTGCCTATAATTTGGGTTGATAACTTCCGGCCCAATGCCTATTCTGGCCCATAAGTTGTAGAAACTAAGCATATGGCCCTATAAAAGTTAATTAATTACAGACATATATTCATGAAAAAAAATTACCCGGATAAGCAAATATATATTATTTAATTAGCTAACATAGTTATAATTTGAATTAATTACGGCTCGCAGCTTAATTTTAGCTAAATTTACGTCGCCTCTCTCCTCTCTTCCTCTCTCTCGCCTCTCTCCTTATTTATACATATACAAATACAAATTATCAAATACAAATTTTACAATTATATGACATATATACAAATACAATTAGCCTCTCTCCACTCTCTGGCCTCTCTCACTTGTCTCTCTCCCAATCTCGCTCACTAGATATACAAATACGTATGTATACCCGTTACATATATATAATTTATCGTACAATATACATATACAGTTCGCTTCTCTCCACTCTCTGCCCTCTCTCGCTCGCCTCTCTCTCAATCTCACTCGTCAGATATACAAATACATATGTATATCAGTTACATATATATAATTATTTTGACATATATACATATACAACTCGCCTCTCTACTCTCTCTCTCTCGGCCGCCTCTCTCCTCCCTCTCCCAATTTCGCTCGTCACTCTCCTTTCTATAACATGTAGCTATGAATTGTAATTAGCAAACTATAGATATGAGGCATAATTAAGCTGTTTTTGAGTGACTATATGTGAAAATCCCCTTATATTCACTTACCTTTAATATTCCCTTTTTGAGAAAAAACCCAAAATAGTCCCTCATCTTTGCATTAAGATTTAAGACTCAAAATCATCCTTAAGTTTTCATATGGAGCATTAATATTCCCTCATGTTTGCAATATTGGTGCCCTTTTGGTCCTTCTCCAAAATTTTGCTTATTTTTTAACATTGATTTTATCCATAATTTATGTATGGAATGTTCAATCGTCATTTTATATATTTAGTAGAAATAATAACTCGACATGGGAGAATGTGAGAAGAAAAATACTTTATTTTGTTTAGTAGAAATCGTATTGCAGGTAAAGTCGAGAGGTTCATCACGACAATTTCACGTGCAATATTACAATTTTTTCTTTTCTTACAACGTCATATGTTAAAATGTTCTTAGCTTAGTTGCAGTAATATTTCTTCTGAACAGAATAATGTGTTCTTCTTCTCACCTCCTCTCACATAGAATTATTATTTCTACTAAATATATAAAAAAGACGATTGGGCATTCCTTACATAAAATTGTGGACAAAATTAATGTTAAAAAATATGCAAAAGTTTAGGGGAGGACCAAAAGTGCACCAATATTGCAAACATGAGGGACTATTAGTGCTCCATGAGAAAACTCAAGGATGACTTTGAGTCTTAACCCAAAGATGAGAGACTATTTTGGACCTTTTCTCTACCCTTTTTTGTAGCTTTAATTATTAAAGGGAAAAGGGACTAATATACCCCTCAACTTTGTCATTTTAAGCTGATATATTATTTTCCTCTAATGGAAGTGAAAAAAAATAATTTAAAATATATATAATTCATATGGGGTATATTTGATCCTCCTCACACGTTTTATTTTATTTTTTTTGTTTCAATGACTAATTTAAATTTATTATTTTTATGGTCAAACTTATTTATGTTCCACTAATTTTCTTGTAAAATTTATCATAGATGCCCCAATATTTTTTTACAAATACAAAAACTAAATTATAATATAGTTGGAAAAAATAGTTTCAAATTATAACATAGCCATAAAAAATTAGATTTTAAAATTATCTTCTTTACACTAAAGAATGAAAGAACAAATAAAAAAAGAATAAGAATCTCAAATAATGATAATCAAAGAAGTCAAAAAACATTTTATGTATGAAAAAGATTAAAATATACCTTGAACTTTGTTAGAAGGATCATATATACCCTTACATAAATTTTAAAAAAATTAAAAAGTCAAAAATATAAATTTAAAACTATTTTTTCACTTATGTTAGATGAAGCGTATATATGAACTCCTTTTGTAACAATAGGGGTATATTGGAGTCATTTGTATAATGGTAAGGTTGATGGGTATATCATGTCACTTTTGTTTTGGGTAAATCACATAAATATCCTATATTAAAAAAATATTTACCATCTATGGCAATATAAATTTTCTAACTAAATATAACATTTTTTTTTACTTTAAAAATTGTACTGTCTATCTTTCTTCGCTTCTTTCTCTGCCTTTTTTTTCTCTTATGCTTCTTCTTTTTACTTTTCTTCTTCTTCGTCTCTTCGCACATTCTTTCTCTTCCTCCTCTCTTTTTTATTTAATTATTTTTCTTCTTTTAGAAATTTTCATTTAAATAACTATTCTTAAATGAATAGTTATATTAGATATATTTCATAATTGTATTAAAATCATGAACAATACATGTTCAATATATATTTCAAATTTCACTCATTTTTAGTGATATCAACCAAAATAATATAAGTAACACACTTGTAATACATTTTAATATAGGCACAATACATTTGTAATACATATTGCAAACATCGCTCTTTTTCTTAGTGATACAAATCAAAATATAGATATAATACATGATTTATCCATGAATAATTCATATTGCACACTTTACTCCTTTCTTAGTGATACCAACAAGAATAATTTAGGTAACACACTAATAATACATTTATAAGATATGCGCAATACATTTTTAATACATATTGCAATTGTCCCTCATTTTCTTAGTGATAAATCAAAATAATTTATAAGACGCATATAATACATGTTTTATTCATGAATAATACAAGTTTAATTCAGTCTATAGGTTATTGTCTTGTCGTTCATTAGTTACGTTTTTCATTTATTCTTAATTTTTCTCTTCTAATTCAACTTTAGTATTGTGTAATACACTTTTAATGCAAATTTAATTCATTTTGTAGTTTATTATTTGTTACTATTAGATTGCTTGTTTAATTTATTATTGATATAAGTTTAATTCACTCTATAGATCATTGGTTGGTCTTTCATTAGTTACATTTTTTATTCATGTTTAAATCTCTCTTCTAATTCAACTTTAATATTTGTGTAATACACTATTAATATAAGTTTATTCATTTTGTAGTTTATTGGTTGATTTGTTACGATTGAATTACTTGTTTATTTCATTATTAATACAAGTTTTATTCAGTTTACTGATTACATAATGTTCTTTAGTTTGCTATATTTTGCATTCATGTTTAATTCGCTTCTAATTCAACTTTAATATGTTTGTAATACATTTTTAATTCAACTTTAATTCATTTGACAATTTATTATGTTTCTTCATTTGTTACTATTAGATTACTTGTCTAATTAATCCTTGATACAAGTTTTATTCAGTCTTCTAATCATTGACTGTTCATTCGTTTGCTACATTTTGCATTCATGTTTATTTCTCTTCTAATTCAATTTTAATATGTGTGTAATACATTTTTAGTAGTAGTGAAATAATCTGATTTGTCATGTTTTTTTCTTGCACATCACCAATAAACTAGAAAATGAATTAAAAATGTATTACACACATATTAAAGTTGAATTAGAACAGAATTAAACATAAACGCAAAATGTAGCAAACGAAAGAGCAGTCAATGATTCATAGACTGAATAAAACTTGTATCAATAATGAATTAGACAAGTAATATAATTGTAACAAATGAAGAGACATTAAGTTGCAAAATGAATTAAAAATGTATTACACACATATTAAAGTTGAATTAGAAGAGAATTAAACATTTAATGCAAATGTATTAAATTTTTTATATATTGACAATTAAGCATTACTTCAAGGTGTTACGCAGAAGCTAATAATTGTAAATCTTGAATATAAATCAACAAAGAAAATTATACTATATATATCGAGAGAATATTTTTTCTAAATAAAATTGTTTAATCCTAATGATTATTGTGTTACTATATTAAGGAAACATCTCCAATTTATAAAAGTGCGAAACTTTTTATTCAACAAAAAGAACAATAATCAATAAAATGGGCTTGCCCATCTTTAAGTTAAAAAAAACAAAAAGAACAATATTTTTTCACCAAGATTTTAAAAAAAAAAAAAAACATAAACATGATAAAAATTCAAATAAAATAGAAAAGTAATAATCAAGATGAGCAAACTTCCATTTGAGATATGTTTGTTTCACCATTCAATTCATCAAAAAGTATTTGTCATCCTTGCTTAATAAGGAGAGACACGGAAAAAAGAGAAAGAAGCAAAAGAGAGAAAGCAGACACAAAATAAAGTAGATAATATTGTTAAATATTGCTATAAATGGTAATAATTAGAGAGTATATTTAAAATAAGTAATTATTTTTTAAAGGGAATCCATCCAAGTAATTAATCCTTTTGTTTTTCTATTTATCTAGTTCGTTTTTTATTTCTTTTTTTATTTCTTTGTTCAATTAAATTATTTTAAACTTTATTTCTTTTTTATATCATAATCTGATTTATACTAAACATTTATTTCATATACTTTCTTTCTTCTTCTCTTTTTCTTTTTTCTCAGTTATTTCTTTATTCTTTATGTTTTCTCTACTTTTTTTTCTCGTTTTTTTTTATGCATTTTGTTCTTTTATTTTTTCAATTTATTTTATTATTTTATTTTATTTTTACATAATTTAATTCACACTCAATTTTTATTTTATATTCTCCTTTTTATTTTTTATTTTTTATTTTTTCTCGTATATTTCTTTATTCGCTTATTTTCTCAAAAAGGATCCTGCTTTTATTTTTCTCTTTTTTCCCCTTTTTTTTGGTTCCTTTTATTTTTTTCATTATTTTATAATTTCTTTATTTTATGTTCCTTTTCTTTTCTCCTTTTTTTTCTAATTATTTCTTTATTTTTTTTTTATCATTTTCTTGCTTTTTCATTCATTTTTTCTCAAATCATAATATTCTTTAT